AATGTGAACATCAGAAGGCTTTCAAAGTGTGATATTGTTTGAAACACTCCGGGTTACATAGTGGAACATCACAATCTGGACAATAAAACCTTGTATCGCTTCGTTTTTTTTCTCGCTTGACTGTATGACTANTGTTTCATTGTTGTCCTATTCTTCGCTTAATATCTTGTAGAATGTAGTACTGTTTTTAAATTTAATTTGTATGTTATTTATTTCAATTATTAATCAATCGATTTATATTGATACTTGTATAGAATAGAGAAATTGTCTTAAAATGGAATATTTTTGTTTCAATCAAGTCACGTTAAAAAATAAGGAACGAAGCGAATGGACTTTTGATCATTACGTAACTCCTTACTCCGATAAGTTTCGTATTCCTGCATTCGATGTTTAAAAAGATCAATGGCGACACAAATTACTCTTACTTATAGATTTTGGATTACTTTTTTCTACTATTTTTTTTCTCTTATTTTAAAGGATGTGTATATACCATATTTTAATTTATCTGTATCTTAAATTAAAACTATTAGAATGAATGAAGTTACATGACTACAATGAAAACAACATCACTCACCATCTGATATTACAATTCAGATGTGCAGAATTTGCCATGATTTCAAAAGCTTTTCCCCAACAACCGTTAATTTTCCCCAGAAGGTTGCTAGAAATAAAAAACTTCCCTCTCAACGGTGTTCGCGCAGATGCGTAGATTCTGCATGGCTATTACGAATAATCTCATGAATATAACAAATTGCAATTCCTTAAGTTTCAAGTTTATAAATGTTTTTGATGAACAATATTTTGCTGTATGTTCCATTACATTTTAAAATTTCTCATTTCGGTTACAATGGTCATGATCTGACTAGATTATACATGGAATAACATTACATAGATAATTATGATCTGAATCAGATTTACGCTAATTGATAAATACAATAAAATGAAATGTATTTTTTTGAAAATCGACTAGGAGCTGATCAAAATAGACAAATAACATATATGTACTTTTGTATATACAATTGTGTTTTGATAGAAAAACGATTAAGACAAGAAAAAGTATATTAATTAACCAAAGTTGGAGATTGTCTTATTGAAAAAAAAGAAACTAGGCAACTTGATGGTATCCACTCCCAGAGAATGTACTGAGCTCAGGATACCTTGCTACTAGTAGGCCACAGGAATCGTTGAATATTTCAATACTTTAGAGAACTTTATGGGTTTTTAGCCTTTTGATAATAAAATTTCTCTACATATTCAGTTTACTAAATTCTTGAAAGAATTTTCGGACAATGCTATAGAAACATGACAGATATCTGGTGAGACTTTGTATAGTGATGCAATTTTCATTACGGGCTAAGACATTAGCAACATATGAACAATTTTGAAAGAAAATCAATTCTTCTAATTGGCTTCACTAACTTATTGAAACCCATGGGTTAGTTTGCAAACAATGCGACACAACTCATGAATCCATAGTTCTAATATCTGCAAGAGAATCTATTTTTACTCACCCATCTGGTTACGCGTCGGATGTGAATTGTTATTCCCTGGTTCAAAAACAGCCAGCCTAGAGAAAACTAGGTTCCGAACTACAATTATATCGTGTAGGCACTTTCGATTCTGATCTAACTTATTCATGTGTTAATTTGCACGTAGCGTCCAATTCTCTCCAATCAAAACTAATCGATCGGATATTTAATACCTAAGCTGAATATATTCTCATGATTCACTTGATCATATCGAGTTGATACATATTTTAAAAGCAATAGAATACTTATTTCATCATTTGAAATCAAGCTCAACCTAAAGACTCGATTTTGTATCATTACTTATTGTGCATTCTACTGACGCTATGTTCTTGACATTGTGAAGCAAACAAAGTATTTCTATTTTAAATCAAATCAGAAGACAACGAAGCAGCAAACATGAAAAGATACCACAGTTGGAAAAGCACAACTCAAATTCTAGTACAATATCGCTGGGAAACAGGGTGAACATAGGTGAATACAGGCCATAAGCAATCACGGCCATTCGGACGCACACCATGTCTTCATATCCAGTATCACGAGAGTCATTTTACAAGTATTTCATACGACTAACAGAAATAAAGTTACATTCACCCTTGTTTAAGAGCTTCTGTGAGATGTTGTGGTCCTTGATCACTCTGACTGCATTGCCACCTAGATACAGTGTGGTTAGTGTCTGTTTTGAATGGATGAAAGGGTTTGCGACGTAATGTCGTAATGGGACCTATAATCGGTAGATGTGTTGCTTCAATTCGAAAATCTTTGATTCAGTTCATTTACATCGGAATATTTTTTTTTCGGAAAAGAAATATTTAAAAATGTTCGAAAGTATATAGTTGTATATAGTGCTTGTAAATTGTCTTCAAAGCTTTGTGATTTCGATGATGTGGATTTCGGATCTTTGAAAAGGATAGTGAGAACCGGAAGGGAGTGAAAAATTTCACAAGAATAAGTCGTGATACTCGTCGAAGTCCGATGTGGTAAAACGAAAGCTTCTCATCGATAGAAAGAGTTGTTCGTGCTGTCACACTTGATACATTGTTTGAGTGCTTTTTTTGTTTCTTAAACGTGGGTAGCGTTACATTGGTGTTTCTTAGGTGATCCACAATGGAGAGAGGGTGCTTACATATATCGCTCTGTGTCGCTAATGCAACAGTGTTGCAAAGAGATTATTCCTAAAAAGAATCGACTTTAGTACTGTTGTCGGTACTTCGTTTTCAATGATGGCCTCTGAAATATAGCTTTTAAGTATGATTAACTTTGAATGTTTTAATTTATTGTCTACTCAACGAATAGCACTCCTTTTCGTGATTCTTGGGTTATAGCTAGTGGCATTTTATAGGTAATTTCAAATCATTGTCAATGATCAATCATAGTTTTCCAATGCAAGTATAAGCGTAGGTAGTTTTCATCAAATTTGTTTGGTTCGTTCTAGTTATGGACAGTTTGTCAAGAGAAATACTCCATTAAAACGGCATATAGTTTGGTATCTTAAATAACCCATGAAAGAATGGCTATGTGAACTTCTCATCTGCATCATATTTTGTTCTAGTTGAATGGTATTTAAAACTCTTGTTCTATTATTGTTAAGATCCTAGCAGCGTTTTCGTTCTGCTTCACATGTCAATCAATTGCCTTCGTTGACTATCATACAATGGTATAAAGCGCGATTGTTAAAAACATCTGACTACCAATCTTTATCGTCGTTAATATTAGCTGGATTTTTGACTGAAGAAAAATAATATATAGGTTTTCCAATAATATTGATACATTGTGCTTTCGTTAAATGCTACAGATTGCTCAACTTATGTTTAAACTCTCATGAATTTACTTTTCTAGTCTTATGTTTATTTGTTTATCATCAGTTCAGATAGAACTATCTGGCACACACCCGACACATGTGACAGTCCCACACGAGTGCTCATGCATATGCGAATGTCTGGTAGAGCATCCAGAAATCCATCATATGCCATTCTAGTCGTTGATGAGTACTAGAAAAACATGAAATATACTTATTAGCCCTTGCAAAATTCGATGGTAAAACGAAACCAGACAAAAGCATACAACAAGTCTAGACGTGAGCAGCGTCAGCCTCTCGTATCCCAACGACTGTCTATAATACGCTAGGATAACAAATGGTACCATGTAAGAAAATTGATCAAATGAGCAGGACTGTATTGTTATTGTAATGCCAGTCTGTGAAACACAAATTTATGGTGTGAAGATGACATAAGCACAGTCCGTTTAGGAATATTCTAGAGATTCATTTGAATAGCAGTGATGTATGGTAAACGAATTATGTATGATTGTTCATGCTATTTTTAAAATATCGACTCCATTCTACGTCGAATGAAAAGTTATACATAGAGACAGTTTACAATCTTTGTTCACACTGTTTACTACTATGAAGTTAAGGCATTTTTACATCTACTAACTGAAAACAAGCCGTAAACGTTATCCATTTTCAGCGACCTGAAGATGAGTAAATATTTAGAGTACTAAAGTTCCACAGCATCAAGACAATGCAGATACGAGTATATAGAATGTCCATTTGGATAATGCTCTTCGAAGTGGACTATCAATCAAAAAAATGAACACTCATTGTCGCCACTTGGGTGTAGGTATACATCTCGGAGTCAGTCAGGATGCCAGCGAGGCTATCGATGTGCGTGCAATGTGGTGCTTTTCTTCACTTTTCAAATAATCACAATCACACTCAAACACCCACACCCACATGCACACCCCACACCTTGAAGTTATTCAATGCTCTGAAATTTTTATCAAATAATTCACAATGAATTATAGAATAAAATAAAAATGGAAATATAACTGATATTCATAATCCATTGGGAAGCAAGCAATCAGATTCTAAATATAAATGACCTTATAAAACAGTCAATTAGATTGACTCAATTGTAAATTAACCTTTGTGAAACGGGATGCAAAAAGAGTATTGAAGTATAGGAGTAGAAATTTGTCCTTCCCCTTCTCATCCACATAGATGTGATAGACATAACCGCGAGATCAAAATCCACCCCGAGATTAGTATGACAGTTATTCTTTACTGTCACACTCACTGTAGTGTATTGTGATCAATATATTTCAACATTGACATGCATTAATAGAGTAGGTAGGAATTCATAAAGCGAAACATATGTTGATTAATCCCCTCTTTTACAAGACCAGCAGCTCCATCATGTTTCACATATTAATCCTGCAGGGTTTGCACTAACAGCTTTTTGTTTTTGATTAAAAAATTTCCAAATGAATTCCACTTTTTTTCATAAGTATTTCATATATCACTTTTGTATAATCATGAAAAAAAATCTCATCATATTTTTATTTAATTAATGCTGAATTACACAAAAATTAATTGAAAACATAATTTGAACACACATTATATTCTTGTCTGGAAGTTGATAATGTACATAACTAGGAACAAGATATCTTGAATAGAATTTGTTTTACATTATTCTAATTATCATCCTAATAAAATTTAAACAAAACAAAAATAAAATGAATTTTTTTTAAATAGACTCACCTCAACTATTGGCCTTGAACATCTATCTTTATCTATACTTATGCCATCAGGTATGCCACTAGATTCAGTAGATAGTTTAGTCAAAAGTGAATTGCAAATGTTTCTGATTTTTTCTAATTTATATTCATAATCATCTTTTCTAGCATACTAGAAAGAAATTGAATAAATGCGAAAAAAACCACAATATTATAAATAAATCTTACTTGATTTATTTCCGTCCATTCAATTATTTCTTCAATGTTTTCAATTATTATTTTTCTTTGATTTGTATCAATTTTATCTATCAATTTTTCATTATTTATTGTTGCCGCAGTATCAATATTATCGGATCTGAATGATTGTTTTAATGAATTATATTCATGTGATATCTCATTGTGCGTTTGAAATCTTTTAGCATCCAAAATCATATGTTCTGATTCATCTCTAGACAAATTATTTTGATCATTTGTTATGATAATTTCGTTTTCTTTTCCAGAACTTTTATCTATAGCTGAAACAAATAATGTACCTCTGTTATCCATACAAAATCTAACTTCAATTTGTGCTACACCACATGGTGCTGGTGGAATGTCTGATAATTCAAATTGTCCTAACAGATAATTATTTTTGGCCGTTGCATGCTCACCCTCATAAACTTTAATAAGTATACTTGTTTGATTATCCGCATATGTTGTCAATATGTGACTTTGTACAACTGGAATGATTGTATTCCGTTTAATTACTGGTGTCATAATACTATCAGATGTTTCAATACCCTTTAGAATTAGAACGAGAAATTTCGAAAAGAAGAAAGTTTTTATTTAGTTTTCTTACGAATGAAAAGGACGTAACATCAAATAAAACAACTTCTTCAATATTTGCTGATCTATCACCTGTTGACAGAGCAGCTTGAATAGCTGCACCATAAGCAACAGCATCGTCTGGATTAATTGATTTATTAAGTTCTTTTCCATGAAAGAAATCTTGTAATAGTTTCTGTACTTGTGGTATATGTGTTGAACCACCGACAAGAACAATTTGATGAATTTCTGATTTATCCATTTTAGCATCACGTAATGCTTTTTCAACGGGTTCTAATGTTTTATGGAATAAATCAGCACAAAGTTCTTCAAAACAAGTACGAGTGATCTTCGAATAGAAATCAATACCATCGGATAAAGAGTCAATTTCAATCGAAGCTTGCAAGGATGATGATAAAGTACGCTAGTGAAAAATATTTTTGTTTTCATTGTGAGCAAAAAGAAATATAATTATTCTACTTTAGTAGATTCACAAGCTGTGCGTAATCGTCGAAGAGCACGTTTATCAATAGATAAGTCTTTGTTATGTTTTCTTTTAAATTCTTGAACAAAATATGTGATCATTCGATTGTCAAAATCTTCACCACCCAAATGTGTATCACCTAACATGCATAACGACATTTAAGAGAAATCTTTTAAAATTTCATTAAAATCTTCCTACCGGCTGTTGATTTAACTTCATAAATTCCATCTTCTATTATTAAAATAGATACATTACAAGTGCCACCACCCAAATCAAAAATTAACACATTTTGTTCTTTTGAAACTATATTATGAAAACCATAAGCCATGCCAGCTAGTGTGGATCCATTTATGATACGTAGAACGTTAAGACCAGCAATAACACCAGCATCATTTATCGCTTGTCGTTGTGAATAATTAAAATAAGCTGGTACACCTATAACAACTTCAGAAACCTTTTTTCCAATATAAGTTTGAGCTATTTCTTGCATTTTTGATAAAATCATTGATAGAATTTCTTCAGGTGAGAATAGTTTTGTTTCTTTTTTATATTCAACTTCAATATTTGGTTTCCCATTCTTATTTACTACTTTAAATGGATAATTATTTATATCAGATTGAATTATGGAATCATTAAATTTATGTCCAATAAGACGTTCTGCATTAAAAACTGTATTGTATGGATTCAAATTGACTTGATTTTTTGCCGCATCACCAACTAAACATTTTCCATCAGTAAATGCAACATATGATGACGTTTTTCGATTGCCTTCTTCATTGGCAATTATTTCAACTTTTCCATCATAGAAAACACCTACAGACTATTGAACAAAAACAAAAAGAAGATAATCTTTGACTGTTTTTTTTATTGTTTGTTTGTTCACTTGCCGAATAAGTTGTACCCAAATCAATACCAATTCCTCGACATTTGCTTGACATTTTTCTTAAATTTTTGCTGTAGAAAAAACCTAAGAAGTCCTTGTTAGAAAATGAGTAAAGTAAAAATTCAAACTATTTGCTTGTATATATTTTGTTACTTAAAGCATAATCAAGAATTGTGTATCATGTAGAAAGAAAGAATGCGAAAACAAAAAAATAACTTTTTACATTTTATTTGATAATATCTTGTAATGTCAACAGGAAAAAGAGAACGAAAGTGACAAAGAGATATCAATGAGTACGAAGAATACTAATGTCCACATATCATGTTGCTGACTGTAAAAAACTAGCTGGTCTATTAACACATTGAACGCAAATTTTCAAGAAATTCTAAATATAATAATTAGCTGGAATAAAATACAAAACTTTAATGCTAAGCAGCATATTCTTAATCGAATTAACGAAATAATTTTGTCAGATCTTGACTAGCTTCTTTAATAGTTGGATATTTAAATGCATAACCAGTTTGTAGTGTAGCCTGAGGAATCACTTTTTGACCTTGTGTTGCTATAATAGCGCGTTCAGGACCAAGAAGACTATTCATAATAAAAGCAGGCATTGGAAAAATAGCTAGACGTGGTGGACTAAAAGTAGAAGCAAATGTTCGAGAAAAGTCTCGATTAGTTATTAATTCTGGTGCACATGCATTTAATATGCCATTAACATGATTATTTTGTATAGCATATATGATCAATAAACAGACATCATCAAGATGAATCCATGGAAACGGTTGCTGACCATTACCAATTGGACCTGGAGAAATTTTTAAATAAAAGTAAATAAATATTAAACTTAAGAAATTTTTTTACCTCCCAAACTGAAGAAAAATGGCCAATACATTGATCCAATCATACCACCAGTTGAACCAAGTACTGCTCCTATATTCAATAAATGTTAAATCAAAATTTCATGTAATAAATCAAGTTAATATACCCGAACGAAGAATAACTCTTCTAACATTAAACGTTGTTTCAATAGGTTTTGATGCTTGTTCCCAATCTCTTGCTAATCGTGATAGAAAATCATAATCACCACCTTCTGATGTTTCAGTATATTCTTTAATTGGATCTGGTTTATAATAACCTTTCAAAATATTTGTTAAAATAAAATAATAATAATATCTTTTTGTTTCAAATAAAACTTACTTACACCAGACATTGATACATATACTTCTGGTTTTTCATCTTTTAAATCTCTAATAAAATCCAGAAATGTTTTTGTTGTACCTATTCGACTTTGAACAACCTCATTTTTATATTCATCAGTCCAACGCCGAAAACTAAGTAAAGGTGCGCCAGCTAAATTTACAATTGCTTTTATTGGTTTCACTGAAGATAGCGTAGCTCCACTGCGAATATCATCCTACAAATTCATTCAAATATAGATCAGTTTTTGAATAATAAATGTCACAAAATGAACAGACGTCTTAGTATTCGTCAAAGTTAGAGGCGAAGCATTAATAAAAAATCATGCTATTTCAAATTAAAAACATTCATTTTAGTCTATCTTCTGCAATAACTTTAATGCAACTAGATTTAAGACAACTATTTGTTGTCCCCCTGGAATCCGTACGGACTCCAATCAATAAAATAAAGATAACACATTATATTGTTATTATAGTTTATCATAGACATGTGAGAACTCTAGAGAAGATTTGTTTATCAGAAGAACAAACAAAAAAACAAAAGAAATTGATTTGTTTTTCATAGTTTTATCATTTTCTATTTTCGAGGCATTTGAAATCATGCATCACTATTCAATATTCACGTTTAATTTGAGCTGCTCTATTATAAGAACAACTAGGTATAATTGGCTATGGTTATCGGTATGATTGACTAAATATCCACAACACATACTTAAAAGGATATGGTTTGATTACTTGTTATGAAAGCATAATCTTAACAGTGAATCTTATTGAAGTTCGGACGAACTCTAGGCAGTCAATAAGTATTCACATGCACTTCTGGATAGTCTATTCACGTAAATAATAGTTCAGCATAACTAGTGAATATTATCAGCATAGACTCAGTGGCGTAGGCAGGAATTTTCTAAGGGGGGTGCCCAACTCATTATGGGAAGTGTACATCAGCAGCAAAATAAATTTTTGTTTCTCGGAAACATTTTTAACCTGTATCCCTATCTAAATGTTTCTTGACCAAAAGGAGTGCTCGGGCAGTCTGTGCACCCTCCCTAGAGCACATTCAGAAGATGAGCGGTTTCATCTAATATTGTGTACTTATAGCAGAATGATGAAACTGGCTGGAGTTCACACGTACCTCAAATAGTCATGTCCGGATTATTCTGCAATATGTCAGAATATCTCCAAACCAGAGATATTTACTGAAAATGACTAAAAAGTGTGTTTATTCTTGCCTTATATCAGGATTAAAGTACTTGTCTTGAAGTACAGCATAGAGTAGGAAAAATAGACGTGTGAACATTTCTATTCCAAAGTTTCTATTGCAACCTACACTAATATAACAAAAACAAAAAAGAATTTTAGAGCATTTTATAAAAAGAGAGAAAGTATAGATTTGAATCGTCAGCGTCTCAACATCGAAAGTTGCTGTGGTGCTCATGCATACTTTAAATTAGACTGGAAGTTGAAGTAATAGCTATGAATGAGAGTGATGCTATTGTAATGCGATTTTTTCAATCAGGACAAGGCTATTTTTTACAAATAAGTGTTTTTTTTTATATAAAACTTGACTAAAGGTTTCGAAGTCAAGAAATCCGAATATACTAATCGCTTTTCGATATTCTTGAGTTCGATTTTTTTTTCGATCCCGGAAGTCTAATTCAAAAACTATCTGTATGTGATGAAACGAGTTTAAATCACAAAAAATAGACTTTCCGTTGTCGAAAAAATCGAACCTGATGATTTCGATAATCGATTAGAGAATTGAATTCCTTAACTCTGAGAACCTTCAGTCAAGCTTTATTTAAAAAAAGCGTTATTTTTGAAAAACAGCTTTATCTTGATTGAAAACATCGACTCAGAATAGTATCACTTTCACTCATAACTATCACCTTAGTTTTCAATCTAACCGCAAATGTATGTCCTAGGTTGATCTCGGATTCAACTAGGGTACTTTAAGATCCAATTTTGGACGAGTTCATTCAGAAATCTGAGTTTGGCCTAAATTTTTTCTATACCAACCTTGTATTCTAGAATGACCTAGTCGAAACTTAGAGTTGACTTCGAATCATTAGTCCAATCGAAGATTGAACTATTTTTTAAGGTTCAATGTAAATTTCATCTAAATCAAACTATTATACATTTGTCCTATTACATGCCTGATTTCTAGCATACAGTACTCTTGTTATAAGTGTACAAACATTGGAGGAAATGATGAACGGGAGTTATAGATTATGAATCAAATATAGGCTGATACTCGAATAAAAGCGATAAACTTGTAGGTACTCATAGAATTCTCGATGAATGATAGACAGCAAATATTTTGGTGAGCTCCTTTTGCTGTATCTTGTGAATTTATTCATGCCCAATTAGCTGATTTACATGAGATATCGATGAATACTACATTAAAATTCTAATGTTCGAGGCACTATCAACAGTGCCTATTGTTTAGGAAAAAGAGGATGTAACATCAATCAGTGTGCTCGTAAAAACAGTCAAGTTTTCTGCTTGACAAATTGTCACAAAAACGTTATGTCTTGTAACAATATTGAAAAATAAAGAAATTTATTTCTCCATTTGATATTTATTTTATTTTTCACTGTTATTCGACTGGCTTTGTGAAGGGCAGTTGTGGTTTGAGTTACTCATTACTCTATTTTAGTTCGACCTATAACATATATGAGGACCACAACATCTACAGCATCCTGTAATAAAATTAAGTACTAGGGTGCTGTATTTATCTTTCCCTTCACCGGTTTTATGTCATTAGCAAAAGTCGTAATATATCATCGTTTATAAAAAAAAAAAAAAAAAAAAAAGAAGCTATTCGTGCAAAGGTATCTCTTCGAAACAATGTAGACTTTATAGTTAATAATTATCAAGCAATTTATTCATTTTGTAACACTCATTATAAATACCCATGTCAAAGTATTTTGATTTCCATCAGATTTCCTTGATACAATCCAAATATTTTGAAAACCTTTTTCTCTTAATAATTGTACCAAACGTTGTCCAATAAAACCTTTTCCTCCACCTAAATAAATTAATAAATCATCTACAAAATATCTTCATACTTTCTCACCAATAATAACACTCATCTAAAATAATAATTTTAACTCATTTGTTTGTTTTTTTTTCTATGAACAAAAGCAAAGTAATTTTATTATATTATTACATTCACTCTTTTCTCTTTAAAGGATGTGTATGAAAAACGTAAGAAAATCATTGTTTCTTTAAATTCTTCTATAAATGGAATGGATGCTTGATGTAAATTTAAACGTTTGTTTTCTTAAAAAAAAAAAGAATCCTACGAACAAAACAATTCAATGCTAAGAATCAATGACGAGGAAACATGCACAATCAAAGAATATAATAATAAATATATGTATATGTATGTATGTAGTGATAGAAATAAACAACAACAAAAAAATTAATTATAACACTGTTCAGGAAATGTATTTAACTCAGCTTCATCACTCATTGGCGAATTATTAAATAAATAATTAAGTTTAATTCTCATACGAAGTTTTTCTTTATTTGGATTTGAAATTTTTATTATTTGATTAATTTCTTCAGAATTATTTGCTGGTATTGTTGTACTATCTGGTGGATATAATTCAATAGTCAATGTCTAAAATGAATATAGATTTTATTTATTTAATTAAATATTAAAGATGTATTTTACTTTTGGTACAGCTGCTTTAAATATAAAATTTGTTATTGGATATTGTGTAAAATTTGTTGTTTTAGAATGAATTGTTAATATTGTACCTTCTCGTTCAAATGTAAATACAATACGTAAACCATTTTTATCTAATGCTATCATTGGTGGAATAACTAATATGAATCAATAAAAAAAACATAATTATAAAAAAAAAATATTTTTGAAAAATATTTACTATTATTCGAATGATTATGTTGTATATCATCACCGAAAATAAAATCTGTAACTGGATTTGATGATAAAGGTTTTTGTTGTTGTTCATAAGGATGAATAGATCCATTTGTTTGAAGAGGCTCATCAAGAAGTTTTAATAAATCAACCTAAAAAAAAAACAGATGAGTAATTCAATTTTCATGATATAGGACAAGAATAATTTACTTACGACAGGTTCATTCGGTGGAACATGATTTATGTGTCTATCATTTGATGAATTTTCTTCTTGATTATATATTTGTTCTTGTTGTTCATTAGAATTTGTATTTGATGATGGATTACTGATAAGAACTGGCATACGTTCAACAATACTTGGTCTTAAAATAGAAAACAATGAATTTTTTTTAGTTTTTTTTACTAGCGGATGATCGGAAAGTTTGTTAGACAAGATATTTGCTCACTTTTGACTTGTGAGAAAGTATTTTTGACGAGTCAAAAACTATGAGTTAAGATGCTCTGCTTCGAATATGGGTTTACGATGGGATCTCTTTAATTGTTTCCTTCCAATTTCAAGGGTTTTTGCCTATAGATAAGAATCTCGATTTTTATTGATATTTATTTAAGCTATCAACTCGTATTTTTTAAGTTTGATTCAAAACTTTACCCACACAGAGAGTTTAACTAGACTAGCTTCCATAAAAAAGCTTACAAATTTTCAACAAAGTCTCTTCAAAATATGAGACTTTCAAGATTTAGACCTCTTTCCATAGATAGTGTATACTATATGCATTTTTGAAAGCTTCATATCTCGAAAAGACTTTGTTGAAAACTTGTTATTTTTTTTTAATGGAAACTAGTCTAGTTGTGCTCTCTATATGTGCAAAGCTTTAGATGAAAATTTGAAAATTCAAATACTCCGAACACTTGTGCTCCAACTGGGACTTCTAGAAAATAGACATATTAACAATTCGATTGTGTGGTCAAATCTCAATAGAAACTTGAATCCTCCCAGGATTTTTATTAGAACACTATGTAATTTCTATAGTAAAAAAAATTATTGAAATCAAAAGAAGGGAGCTGAAGAAGGTGGTTCGTTAGAAATTTTGTCTCGTTTTTATTCAAAAGTAGGAAGAGACTTTTTGAAAGACCAGAAAAATAATATTGAACGATGATCTTACAGGGTTTTATTTAATCTATAAGTTCTTTTTCAAGCATGCTAAGGATTGTTGGATTCAGTCGTTGCCTAGATCGGATACTTCTCTACAAAATATGATACTGAACTAAGCTGTAACTTTTGCTCAAATGAGACTATATGCATTTTTTCAAAAGTTCCTACCGACGTAAAACGGTTGTCGATTTGTTCAAAATGAGTATTTAGGAATAACAAATATTGAAGTTTATTCCAACTTTTAGTTTCGAATGGCAATAGTAAAAATATAATGATTGTCCGTTCAAAGATTATTTCACTACTCTCGAACAAAACTTAAGACAAAATTTCCAAGTTTACATGCAAAAAGAGTATCTTAACTCATAGCTTTTGACTCGTCGAAGATACTGTCTCACAAGTCAAAAGTGAACAAACATCTTGTATAAAAACTTCCCGATCGTCTATTATTTAGTTTATCTGAATTAGTATAAAATTATTTATTTTCATTTTTTTATTTCATCTATATGAGAACTGTTTGTTGAATCAAAAAGATCATGTTTATGAGTAAAATGGATTAATATCCATTAGAAAAATCAACCATTGACCATCCTAATCCAGGATTTGTCATTTCCGCCTTTATATACAGTGACGCTCAAAATTGATCGTACTGTCTAGTAGAGTTCCCAAATAGAAAGCGTCTTCGTATGATGAATATCTGTCGGAAGCAGAGCTAATATCACTAAAATATTCTTTCTATTGCAAATTCCTACGAGACTATACAAAATGTTTCAGAAAGTTCGACATATTTGGAACGAGAAAGTCTTTACCACAGCTTTCCTAATCGGTAACTGTGTAACCAAGATATGATTTTGTTGTCCTGATATCATACGAGAGATCCAATGTATTGTTGTGTGGATTTTGTCCAAATATTGTTCATATTTTATAATTTATTTACGATAGGTATCACTTCTTTCTGTTGTAAGCTTGTTGTGCTACATAAAAAAAACTGAAAACGATGTCCTTTGATTTGTTCTAAAATTGATTCTACGCTTAATTAAAAAAATTCATATTAAGAAAATACATTTTAAAGATATTCTTACTACAAAAACAAGTAAAAAAATTCTTTTTCTTTTCAAAATCGTAAGATGAACCGTTTTTTATTTTGACATGTAAGTTAATTTTGTTTTTATGAACTATACTAGCTACTATGAACCAAATGAAAGTACATCATTTTTAATTTGCTAGTGAAACACGGTCTAAAACGAATGTTGAAGTATAGAGGCAAAAATTTGGATCCCCCCTTACAGACCGTGACAAACACTCGCTAGAGATCGTTAAAAGGCGTGAGAGACTTCTTTGTGAAATATAATCAAAGACCTTATATCAATAACATCTCACTGTAATATATAAACTAATTCCCTATTTTATTTCCGAAGGAGTAAGTAAAATGACAGTAAACAAATGTATCCCAAAATAGATAACATAAAGCAATCTCCTTGTGACTAGCAAGAGCAGCTACATTGTATTTTCATATTTGAATTTCACAAGAATTTCGCTAAAAATTTTTCATCCAGTACAATATATTTTTAGGGAAATAAAGTGATACTTAATACAAAAAAAACTATGAAACATGAACTAGACTTTGCTAAAATCCACATTAAAATATGTTTAAGTTCTCTTAAGATATTAAGAAAACAAATTCATCTATTGGTTATACGATCAATTTTAAGCGTCATTGTATACTTTCTTATTTTGATTCCTTGTTAAATATTATTTCTTTCAAATACCTGATGATATTATGTTTAGTAAAAAGCGATGTATATTCAACAGCACGTGTTTGTAATTCTAAGTTCATATTACATGCATAATATGTCATTATGGATTGTATTCGACTATAAAAAGAAAATAATATTCTATATAATTAACTATAATAAATAATTTTACTCTGAACAACTTGGAAAACGTGTACTTAATTTCATTAATGCATTAATGGCATATTCACGTGTAACAACTGTACTTATTGACCAATTTAATACTCGTTCTAATATATCAACTATTTCATTTTCTGTAACCTATTTATCATATATATATATATATATATAATAAACCTCTATATTAATAGAAATCTATTTAGTTTACTTGGAAATTTTCTCCATCATTTAGTTGTTCATATTGTCCACTAACAAATAAATCACCAAATTCACCTTGAAATAAATATATACATTGAGAAATTAGAAAGTTTTCTTTTTATTATTTTTAATTACCTAATGTCCATGATGCTACTTGAACAAGTGGTTGTTGAGTAATATCATTTCGAAGTATTTTATATAATTGATATGCTGTATAACCATGAAGATCAGGTGATGATGATATAATACCAATTAAACTTGATACAATATCATCGCGAACAGAATTCCCAGCCTTAAAAAGCAAAAATTAAATAAACAAAATTCATTTAATTATGTTATCAAGAGAATTAGTTGAAAAGAGTGAACGACTTACAGTTGTAAGAACTTTAATCATTTGATCAACATGCCATCGTTTTGATGGTGCAAAACTAAAATAAAAATTTTCCTAATATTCCATAATCATATTCTTTGAAGGTCTACAGATCACATCGTTTGAAGGTTGATCTATTATTCTTATACCATTACAGGTAATACAATATGAAATTCTATAAGCAAAGCTTTCAAAGATATCAGCTGACACTGTGATCATGAAGAATTTTTAGAACTCAAACTTCTTTTCAGTTCATAGCTCTATACTCAATCAAAGAAAATACTTTACATCTAGACATGTCGTAAGTATTTTATTAGTATACTTCAATAGTTTTGCATTAATTGTATCGAAATAATCGTAGAAGAGATTTGACCATGAAACACAAGGAAAACCCATGCATAAGAGATTTTCTTGAAAGGAAAAAATCATGATCAATTCAAGCAACACAATCTCATTCAATGTCTATGCTAGAAGCAAAATTAGAATTTCACGATTTTTAGTCAAGTGTCTTTTTTTTCTTTTTGTAAACATATTTCAAGTCAAAGTACTTTAGTCTATTCATTGATATTCACACC